AGCAACTCAAAATGGTACTCAGTAGATTGTATGGCCCACAAGCTTGTATGCATGCCTGACAATGTTGGGGCATGTTCCTAATGAGACGACAGATGGTGTTCTTGGGTATTTCCTCCCAGCTCTGGGCCAGGGCATCACTGAGCTCCTTAACAGTCAGAGGTGCAACCTGGGGCCATTCAATGGTATCAATTCCTTCATCCTCCAGGAACTGCCTGCATACTCTTGGCACATGAGGCTGGTCATTGTCCTGCACCAGGAGGAAACCAGGACCCACTGCTCCAGAGTAGGGTCTGACAATGGGTCTAAGCATTTCATCCCAATACCTAATGGCAGTTAGGGTGCCATTGTCTAGCCTGTAGAGGTCTGTGTGTCCCTCCATGGATATGCCTCCTCAGATCATCACTGACCTACCACCAAAACGGTCATGCTGAACGATGTTACAGGCTGCATAATGTTCTCCACGGCTTCTCCAGACCCTTTCATGTCTGTCACATGTGCTCAGGGTGAACCTGCTCTACTCTAAGAAAAGCACAGGGCGCCAGTGGCAGATCTGTCAATTCTGGTGTTCAATGGCAAATGCCAATTGAGCTGTATGGTGCCGAGCTGTGAGCACAGGGCCCACTAGAGGACATCGGGCCCTAAGACCACCCTCCTGAAGTCTGTTTCTGATTGTTTGGTCAGAGACATTCACACCAGTGGCCTGCTGGAGGTCATTTTGTAGGGCTCTGACAGTGCTCATCCTGTTCCTCCTTGCACAAAGGAGGAGATACCGGTCCTGCTGATGGGTTAAGGACCTTCAATGACCCTGCCCAGCTCTCCTGGAGTAACTGCCTGTCTACTGGAATCTCCTCCATGCTCTTGAGACTGTGCTGGAAGACACAGCAAACCTTCTGGCAATGGCACATATTGATGTGATATCCTGGAGGAGTTAGACTGCCTGTGCAACCTCTGCAGAGTCCAGGTATGGCCTCATGCTACCAGTAGTAACACTGACCCTAGTCAAATGCAAAACTAGTGAAAAACAGTCAGAAAAGATGAGTAGGGAAAAAAATGTCAGTGGCCTCCACCTGTAGAACCATTCCTGTTTTGGGGGTCGTCTCGTTGTTGCCCATCTAGTGCACCTGTTGTTAATTTCATTAACACCAAAGCAACTGAAATGGATTAACAACCCCCTCTGCTACTTAACTGAGCAGATCAATATCCCAGAAGTTTAATTGACTTGATGCTAAGTGTAAGAGGTTTAGAAAATAGGCAGCTCCATAAAATTAATATCCAAAGCCTAATACCTAATATAACAGTAATCTATCTTTGTCAATAGAAAATACTAGTGATTGCCTTTATATTGTATCACCACTAGATGGCAAAACTACATCCTGTTTATAATAAAAGGACACAGAAGGGGGAACTGAAAGTCTAACACTTTGTTTCCGGCAGGACCGTGATTACAATGAACATCCGGTCTCATGCCATTAAGAGTTTCTGTGTTTATTACAGGTAAGCAGGAGGCTGTTTAAAGTGATAAATAGGACAAAATTACTTAACATGTGCCCTGGTGGTCAGTAAATGCCACTGCTACTATTATGCAATCATACTACTCGCAGAATGAATGTGAATATATATTGCAGGTATGCAATTTGGCGCTAAGATACAGGGAATGTGATTTCTCTATTATAATACGCTATTGTTATGCAGAATAGGTTACTAGCATATCTGCAGAGGTCTAGATATTCAGTATTGTGATTAAAGATGTTTATTAATGCATATGGAAATACTTATTAATGTATATGGAAATGTTTAGTAATGTATAGAGGACTGTGATTACAATGAACATCCGGTCTCATGATATTAAGAGTTTTCTGTGTTTATTACAGCCATTCCTAATAAAGCACTTCTGGTTTCACCCGACCCATCCTTCGCACAGTGGAATTATTAACTGTATGTGCAACATATACTCTGATTAAAAAGTGTTCCTTTAATTTTCTTGAACAGTGTATTTTTTTTAATTGTCGTTCTTATTTTGATTATAGTTCAAAAAATAAAAATCTTTTCAAAAAGTGGTGATAATATACCACATCATTTTTTTGTTTGTTTTTTATGGGATCACCCCCAAATCCATATCAGAACCTTATCAAGGGAAAGGATCTTGTATGCTTTTTGGGGGAACCCATGTCACTTTTTTCTTGGTGCTCTGTGCAAATCCATACCAGACCCTTAGCAAATAAAAGGTTTTGGTAAAAGTTTTTAGGTGGGGGGTAAATCTTAAAAATCCTCTTTAAACTCTAAGCATACTGTCTGGGTGGCCAGGAAAGGAGGCAATAGTGAAGGTGTGGCCCTTACTTACCGGACTTCAGGATCTGGAGAAGAAAAAAGACAAAATAATACAAAACGTGGGGTCCTCACCAAAATCAATATCAGACCCTTGTCCTACATAGGGGTCTGCTATGGATTATTAAGGGGGACCCCAGGCAAAAAACAAATGACATGGGTCATCCCAAAATCCATACAGGTCTGGTATGGATATTGAGGGAGATCCCAGGCAGAAAAAAAAACAATGTAATATTCCCACTCCCAAAATGTTGATGGGGATCACCTCCACAAACCTAGTCTGCTGGATGTGGGGACCTGCAGGGGCTGGGGGGCTTTATCGGAATTTGTCCTCCAATCCACATGAATGTGCATAATACCCTCTTACTTATTTACCAAAAAAAGTGTACGACATAAATAAACACACAGGCACTGTCTACAAAATATTTTATTTAAAATAAATGTCCCAAAGTGCAAACCCACTGTCAATCACCGTATCCAGTGATGTGGATCAATTTTCAAACACAATGAATGATGCGCCCTCTAAATTGATGACATGTAAAGATTTTTTAAACAGAAACCTATAGGCAACTTACCAGGTACCATATTTTTTCAGAATTTTTCACCATAGTTTTGACATGTTTTGTATTTATTTACCCAAAGCAGCCTTGTTTTTTATAATAATATATAGTGCAGCGCTGGTGTATTAATTAAAAAAAGAACATGCTAAAATGAATACAAATAAAATAGTTCATAAAGTCCTTCCACAATTAAGTGACCATAGGTGTATGAAGGTCTTCCTCCTTATAAAGGTGACTGGTATCGGATAGAAAAAATGCGCACTCACCGACCGCACATTTTAAATGCGCCTTTGTGCACTCTTATGCAGATGACAAGCCAGACATGCAGATCCTAAGGACACATGGACCATCCCTCTCAAATACTGACATCGGCCTTGGGTGCAGTACCTCCAGGTATATAGAGCCCTTTCGTTCCAAAAGATAGGCAGGCAGGGGTCCCCCTCCTGGTTCCAGGTACCCCAGAAATGGTAGATGCAGATCTGAAACCCTCCGTCGGCGCCTGTAAACCACGTGACAGAGCACAACGGGAGGGGCGGGAGGGGCGGGAGGGGCGGGGACTTCCAGGTTTTTTATATTTTGCCAAAAAAAGGGGAATTATATTGTGTTTGCCTGCACTCATGTGGTTGTAAAGTGGTTGTAAAGATTTAAGGTTTTTTTATGCATTAAGGTAAGAAACCTTCTATGGCTGGGATCCCCCCCCCCAGTCCATTCCCCTCGTACTTACCTGAGCCCCATCGTGATCCAGAACTATGCATGGAAGCAGCGAATCTCCCTACTCTGTCCCTCCTCACAGGACAGATCAATAGCAGTGGGAGCCATTGGCTTCAGCTTCTGTCAGTCAAACTCTGTAACAAGGGAGCAGGGGGGGGGGGCCGTGCCCCCTTTCTGTCTATGGACACAGGCAGCGGGGCTCGGGAGTGAGCCTGCACAAGTGCCCCATAGGAAGTGGGGGCACTGGATGAAGAGGAGAAGCTAGGAGCGGGGACCCGAGAAGAGGAGGATTGGGTTTGATTTGTTGAAAACCATTACACAGAGCAGGTAAGTATGACATGTTTATTATTTTAATTACAAAAAAATGAAGCTTTATAATCACTTTCAGCATATTTTGTACTGAAAAAATAGATTCGATGAGCAATAGTGCAACTAGCGTGTTAAATTAAAAAAAATTGAAACTACCACCATTTTACTCTACGGGGTCTCTGCTTTCAGAAAATATATATTTGGAGTTTAATTTATTAAGTGCGTTTCATGAAAAAAGTGCATTGTAGTATGTGTGCACAAAATGGGTGGGGGGGGGGGGGGGCTCTGGCAATGAAAGGGTTAAGTCCGAGGGCAAGTGTGCGGACCATGAGATTTGACTTCCATCTGACTTTCTTGGTGTGTATGGCCAAGAGTAATTGAATCCAGAGAACTGGTATGACAGCCAGGCAGCCAGCATTTAAGAAGGAAGTGAGCAGAGCCAGCCCTAAGACTTTTAGGGCCTGTTCACATTAGCAGTTGGGGCAGGGTCAGTAAAAATCCTGCAGTTGAGCCATGCTTTTACCACCCCCCAATTTCTCCTCCTTAAGCTGCAAAGGCAGCAGCCAGAGGGGAAACATGCTGCAGCTGCAATACTTTGTGGCTACGGCAGAAATTAAACTCTCTGTTGCTTTTGGCAGGTGCTAGTACCTGCTGAACACGACCCATTCAAGTGAATGGAGATGCTCTGCAAGCTCTCTTCAACTGAGTGTGATGCTTGTGATCAGGGGCAGACTGACAACTCATGGGGCCCCCGGGCAATAGGGGATCATGGGGCCCCTGTGTCCTTGTCCAAACTCAAAAAAGCCTATGAAAAAGGTACCAGGGGCATCTCATGGGGCCCCCTACTGTCCCCGGGCCCTTGGGCAGTGCCCGAGTTTCTAAATGGTCAGTCCGCCCCTGCACGTGATAATGGCACTAGTGCAGGGATCAAAGGTTTAAAGCTGGCAGTGAGGAGGCGGTGTCTGCTCACTGCCTGTCACATGCTTTCTTAAAAGTGATTCAAATGCAGATTGCTCTTCAGAAAGCAAAGCATGTATAATCAGATTTTTTTTAATAGGGATTTGAAATCCATGTTAGAAAACTGGAAATTGTCAGAATGAAGAATACAAAAAATATATGTATGTTGTACATTTGTGTAGATGTGTGAGTGATCCGAGTGATCTACAGATGATCCTTTTGTATTGCAAAACACAGCGATTGTTTCCAAACTGTCTGCTTCCAGCTCTAAAAGGATGCTGTACTGCCACCTAGATACACGATGAAGCCTTGTCCCTGCTTTCATTGTACGAGAGATACACGCTTCCAGACCCACCACACTGCTCAACATAACACCGAACTACTGTGGGCTAAAGAAAAAAACAAATTGGTTTAATTCCAACTGCTTTTATTGCATTTAGTAACCATGAAATGAGTAGAAATCAGTAAGATGCCAAAGAAATCTATTAAATATTAATTATGAATAGTAATAATTTTATATTTTTTTATTTTTTCTTTCTTTTAATGTTATTAATATTAATTTTCTTAATATAATTATTATTGCTCACATTTCATTTTCCTGTAATTAAATTTAGATTACTTAAAGTGATGCTGGAACTGGTTAATCAGGCATCAGACCCCCTAGTAGGATTGAAAGAAGCAACCAAAGAATGATGGGACTTTTTAGGTGCCAGAATGTAGTATTATGACATCAAAAACTAATAAGATCACATTCATTTTGTTTTTGTGTATTGAAAAAAATACACATTTGTTAGATAAAAAAAAAGCCTCAGTAACGTTTTGCATACATTGTAATACTGTAGCTGTGCGAGCACACATATATAGGGGCGGACTGACCATTTGGAAACTCGGGCACTGCCCGAGGGCCCAGGGTCAGTAGAGGGCCCCATGAGATGCCCCTGGTACCTTTTTCATAGGCTTTTGAGTCTGGGCAAGGACACAGGGGCCTCATGATCCCCTATTGCCCGGGGGCCCCATGAGTTGTCAGTCCTCCCCTGCACATATACATCAAAGTTGCTAGGGGTCTAGCAATTGCACAATGCGTTTTCTGGAACTGTGTTGTGTGATTGCTGGAACCCCCCCTTCTGATCAACATACAAGACATGTAGAAATGCTGAGGGCGGGGGTAAAGGGTGTTTTTGTACTACTTTTGCAATTAAATTTACTGCAAAAAGATTTGATTTGGTATTTACAAACAGACAAACATTTAAAGCAGAACTCCATGCAGATCGATCTTTATACCTACTTTTTATCTATCATCTATCTATCTATCTATCTATCTATCTATCTATCTATCTATCATCTACCTTCTATCTATCCATCCATCTAACATCAGAAAAAAGAAGTTAGTTGCAGTCAAAGCTTTGCATTTTTCTTCATCACATTATTAGTCCAAATTTTTGTGGTTTTAATTTCATTTATTAATATATTCTTTCTATTAGAGCAATAGTTACTCTGATAGCTTAGACCGTTCAACATGGCTATTTAATGCTGAAAACAAAAACATTCATTTTTTTTATGTTCCTCAATAGCTGAGTTTATTTATACCGTATTTATACTGTCTTTATACTGTATATTGTTTTATCCTTGTATAATTTGTAAATCCAACATTTCATATTCCTGATATGTTGTACCATGTAAAAACTTGTATTAAAACTGTCCACACTAGGCAAGAGAGCACAGCATGGTCAAATCTTTATCTGTGGGAACTTAGCCTGCTCTCCTCCAATGATCAGACTTGTCCTGACCCCCCTCCTCCCCAGCGCACAGCCATTCACTGAGAGAATCAGCGTGCTGCTGTTTCTCCTCCCCCAGCTCTCTATGCAGTTGAGGGTATGTGATCACTTATTTAAAAAAAGAGAAAAAAGGTATTTATAGATGTAGCACCCTACTTGATTGGTGCTAGGCAATTCAATTTAGTTTGTACTTATATAGGTACATTTAGCTGTCACACTGTAGACAGTGTGGATGTAATTGTTGTTAGGTAAAAGCATAACTTGATCTTAAGAAAATTAAAAACAATTTTTTTCAAGAGCCGCGGATTGGTTCGCTATTGGACCTCTTGTTGGCATTTTAATATTTTCGGTCCAAAAGCATAACTTGCACACTGTAATCATATCTGCTGTGCTCTGCTAGTCAGGTCTGCTCAGTTTGCTCAGCTGCTGCCAGCCTGATAGCTCCCTCAGCATCCAAAAAGCTTGAGAAGTTTCTGGATAATAGGTGTGGAGCTATGCAGATGGAAGTATGAATATTGATACAGCCCTGGCCTATCCCAGAGAGGCAGGCTCTGATGCATGCTGGGTAACTGTATATGTTCAGTGAGCACACTACGTTCTGGGTGTTTCCTGGATAGGGATGTTCCAGCCTGGAGCGGGCATGTTGCCCTCCCAGGCATCTACTGCCAGGCAGCCTCAGGTGGGTGAACTGAGGACCTAAATGCTGAGACCCAGGTTCTACTAAAGCTGATTGAGGGGCTGTCTACTGAAGATCTGGTCTGGTATCATGGAGGAAGGCAACCATCCGCTCTTGGGCCTTGTGAGTACAGACACCCCTGAAGGAACGTATAGAATGTGTGCTACCTAAAGGAGAAGTGCAGCCAAAGCTATATCCTGTGCTGTTCGATTTTTAATAATTGATTCAAAATGAAAAAGAAAACATTTGGCCACTAGATAGAGCCTTTTTAGGAAAATCATATGGTACTTTTCCCCAACTATTGGCCAAATGTGGTATTTTCTGCTTTAAATCAATGATTTACATCCGAACAGCCTATTTACAATCATTTGCATGCCTCATTTGAACAGAATGAATATCCACACCTTCCAGTCATCTGCACTGGTTGATTTGCCTGGGTCCCCATGGAGGAGGCTTCTCTTCCTGTTTTGTATATCACCTATCATCTGGGCAGGAAGATCTTCCTTAATGGGAATAAGGATAGTAATAAATCACTGACTGAGGTTCCAGACTTCCCACACGCTACAAAAAAAAAGGCTTTTTTTTTTTTCTTTTTTACACCCACAGTTGATCCAGAGGAAGGCAAAAAACCCAGCAAAGCATGATCCAATTTGCTCCTGCAAGGGAAAAAATTCCTACCTGATCCCCTGAGAGGCAATCTGATATTCCCTGGATCAACTTTACCTATAAATGTTAGAAACCAGTTATATTCTGTAATAAATTGTACAAAGAGAGACGTAGCACTAATACTAATAACAAAATATAAACACACAATTATATCACCCAATATAAGATTGCTTAATATAAAACAACATACATATATATACTAATAAGTGAAAAAAACATCCAAAGTGAAAAAACCTCTCAGGCACTGGCTTTATAAAGAGGTTATATGATGAAGTGAATACCCATACACAATGAAATCATACACATCCAATAAGTGTTAACAACACTCACACAACCGTGTATGTGATATGATCCTCCTGGGTCATAAATGTGATAAAGAAAGTCCAAATGGGACCAAATTCCTGATGTGCTCCAAATGATCCTAAATTGGATCAGAAAAGTGAAGAGCAGGGGCGGACTGACCATTTGGAAACTCGGGCGCTGCCCGAGAGCCCAGGGTCAGTAGGGGGCCCCATGAGATGCCACAGGTACCTTTTTCATAGGCTTTTTTGAGTTTGGGCAAGGACACAGGGGCCCCATGATCCCCTATTGCTCGGGGGCTCCATGAGTTGTCAGTCTGCCCCTGGTGAAGAGTCCAAATAGGACTAGACAATAATGGTGTTCAGGTGCTGACTGACCCCAAAACGCACTTAAGCATAAATAATTCCCCCACTCTGACAAAAATCCTTCCAAACAATGTATAACGCACCTAAAATAACATGCGTGATAGTGCTAAACAAAAACATGCAACGTGCTCACACAATAGAAACATAACAAAATAATGCATGAAGCTTAATATGTGTTTGCTATGATACAGGTTAAAGTGTCCAATGTGGCAAAATACCACCATAAATTCCTATACAGTGAATCAAATCAAAGTGTTCAATGTGGTGAAAAAACACCATAAATACCTATATGTGAAAACACTTTGTGCTGGTGGATATACAGGTGTATCAAGTGACAGGAAGCTAACCAAAATCAGCTGCAATGCACGCTCACCTCCATGCCTCGACCCATAAGGGCCACACTTATAGGACCACTAACATGGATCCTCCATGTAAGGAACTCCTCTGGGATCTGGTCACTCTCCCTGCAATCGTCTCCCCTCAGAAATAGGCTTTACTGGTAGTAGACCTCCTCTCCAAATGGATATGTAAATTGTTTCCAATTATCTCATCAAAAGACATAAATAAACACTTCCATAGTATAATATCATTTATTTAGGACTAAATAGAATAAAATCCTCCATAAAATGCACTCACATTTAAATTCAGCTTGGTCACAGCATTGATATGAAAACCTCATGTATCAAGTGTAGTTGCATGGGTGTACCAATATGGAGTCCAAACCGGACGTGCGTCGCCACATGCCGACGCGTTGTGTCACGTTAATCATGTGACTTCATCAGGGCTAACCTGATTGGGTGACGATCTTCCTTTATATATAGGGCCAGTTGTCAATCAATCTCTCCTGGGCGGGTACTCTCCTGGGCCTATTCATCTACTTCACTACATCTCCGTGGTCCGAGATGTAAATATAGAAAAGTGGGCAATGTTTAATTGTAAAACCTCCTGCGATCTTCTAAATACTAATAATAGCTCCTCAATGATACCAAACATAATATTACGATAAACGGGGCCCCAACTAGTGATGTTATAAATATTAACATTAACGCAGGGCTGCCATATTAATGGAGACCAGCCTAATCTTTATTACTATATCTCCGGCGGCCATGTTTCCATTGTTCGAGAAATGGACCATAAGGCTAATAGGAATAATCTAAGAAAAAGATGGACATATACAACTTATAAAACCTGAAATATATATATATATGAGTATATATGGGACCCTAACTATATAATAATAAATATTAATAAATATAAATGTGAAAAATTAAAACCAGGCTGCCTATATAGAGAGACCATAAATATATGAATGTGATGTGAGGGAAAACATTACATAAAATAAAAAAAATTTTTATATCACCTATCATCTGGGCAGGAAGATCTTCCTTAATGGGAATAAGGATAGTAATAAATCACTGACTGAGGTTCCAGACTTCCCACATGCTACAAAAAAAATGGCTTTTTTCTTTTTTCCACCCACAGTTGATCCAGAGGAAGGCAAAAAAAAACAGCAAAGCATGATCCAATTTGCTCCTGCAAGGGAAAAAAAATCCTTCCTGATCCCCCAAGAGGCAATCTGATATTCCCTGGATCAACTTCACCTATAAATGTTAGTAACCAGTTATATTCTGTGTATCCAAGAAAGAATCCAGGCCTTTTTAAAGCAATCCACTGAGCTGGCCAGAACCAACTCTTGAGGGAGTCTATTCCACATTTTCACAGCTCTCACTGTGAAGAAACCTTTCCGTATTTGGAGATTAATTCTCTTTTCCTCCAGATGTAAAGAGTGCCCCCTTGTCCTCTGTGATGACCTCAGGGTGAATAGCTCTACACCGAGTTCACTATATGGACCAACTGATGTATTTATACATGTTAATCATATCCCCACTTAATCTCACATAACACCCCTGATTGCCTGTGCTGGCCATGTAGTGGTCCGGACATCACAATACACAGCCCCAGAGTTAGTTTCCACCGAAATCCTCTCAGTGCCAAGCGTCCATTGGTCAGCACAGCGACGTGACCAGCTTGACCAATGAGAAGGGCACCTGAGGCTTCTTTTTCCAGTAAACTGTCCCATGTGGCCACGCTGAGTAATGAATGCTTGCCGCTGCAAGCATTATGACGGATACTCACTCCAGGACTGTGTAATACAGTGTACGTGTACAGACCGTGCAGCATGGGGCATTGTAGCAGAGTCTGGAGGTAGGGGCATAATTACAACAAGGCAAACAAGGCATTTGCCTAGGGCGGCA